TTCCTAATTTTCCGCCAGTCTCTGTGGCCGGCATCTCTGGCTGTCCTCTGAAGATGCCGCCCACGGAGACTGGCGAAACGTTTGGACGAACAACCTTCAGAACATGGCCAAAGAGCCCGGAAAACCCACAACAACCAGAAGGTGCCAGAGTTTAACTCTGTCTGGATTATTTTGCCTCCTGAATCCCAAAAGGCAACTGTGGGCCCAGCTGCACTACCTCGCTGACATCTTGGAAAACACTCTGCACATGCTCTGCATCCCTGTTTTAAAACCCGACCCTTACATGTCCTCACAGCGGATGCTGCCATGTATTATCATTCCCGAGGGTTTAAGCGATGCTTTTTGAGCCAGCTTGCTGGGAGGGGGTGGAGGAGAGGGGAGCGGCTGATTCCCGGGATCCGGAAAGTGGGCTTACCTAAGGCACGGAGATAATTCTCCATGTTGTCTTGGGAGACGAATCGGTAGTAGCCAGTGAGGTTGGGAGGCATCTCAGAAGAAAGAAAAGAGGGAGAAGACCGGAGAAGAAGCCACGTGAAGCTGAAAGACTCGAGGACCGGAGGGAGGAGGCTCGAAAGCCGTTCCAGGAGCCGCTGTAAATCCCTTGACAAAGAAAAAGAATAGTGTAAAAGCAGGACCGGCTCAAAAAGAAAAAGGCGCCGCTCCCAGCTCTCCTGCCGAGGGCTCCCCAAGAGCCGAGCCTGCAGTGATTTCGCGACGGCCCCTCGCCCGGGGGTTTATATAGCTCCGCCGCCGCACCGCACCCCGCCGCCGTAAGAGTCGCGCTGGCCCGGCCCCCCCCGGAGGGCGCGGAAAGGGGGCGCGCCGCTCTGGCCTCCATTCTCACTCTCTCACTCACACACGCACGCACACACACACCCCTGCAAAAGGAAGAGCCGGCCTTCTTCGCTGCACTCTCTCACTCACACACACACGAACACACACACCCGTGCAAAAGGAAGAGCCGGCCTTCTTCGCTGCGCTGCCGGTCTTAAGAGGAACGGAAGACCTGGCCGCTGACGGTCCGGCAAGGTCTGCTCGGAAGGAAACTCCGCGGAGTTCAAGAGGATCGCGCCCCTGGTGACTCGCTGGGCTGCTTTCTTTCCCCACCCGCTTGGCTTAGCCTGAGTCGACGGGGAAAGAGAGCGAGCTGGATTGCCCGATCTTTTTAAATGTAAAAAAGAGACCAGGCGGGCGCAATGCTTTTGTGTGTGTGTGTTACCTGAAGGCTCTTGCTCCTAATCCTCATTGCGTGGGGGCAGGACCGACCGAGCGAGAAAGTAAACTCCACTCTGCTCCTATTCAGACGTTCTGTTGTGTGACGGTCCTGTTTCTGGAAGAAATGTCTCCAGGCACAAAATGGGTTCAAAGTTACATCTAGTCGTTTCCTGTCCCCTTGGCAGGTAATGCTGTCGAAGTCCTCCTGACACATTTCTGGAAAGGGACATGGTAGGAACCGTTGACATAATTGCTCCTAAACGGCTCCTCCCAAGTAATACAACCAGATCGACTGCCTGGTTCACGAGGAAGAGCGGGTGTAGCCTTGAGCGAGGATGATGACAAACTCAGATTGAACCTGACCGAACAGCGGCTAGGGCCCCTGGGAAGGCCTATACCAGGGCCCTGGTGATGGCAAGGAAGTCATTCTTTTCTGCCACTATGGCATCTGCACAGAGTTGGCCCTTGAAGTTCCAGGACCTATTGCATCCGGGCCCAAAGGAAGAAAATACAGGCCACAGTGTAGTTCACTGTGAAGAATTTGCACAACACATGCAGGCAAAATTGCTGGGATCTGCTTTGACTGGGATGTTGTAATTGGTACAGGTCCTGGGAATGTGACTACAGCCCCTGCTTGCCCTGTGTTGGGGAGAGGTTTCAGCCTGATGATGTGGGTGGGGCCCTTGGGGAAGAGAGGGCTACCACGTGCCTGCTAGATCCTTACCCTTTCTGACTTACAAAAACTGCCCCAAAAAGACTGGTGGAGTGAGCAGGAGGAGTGGTGAATGACTCCTTGCAACAGAGCAGGACCGCAGCGTGCTTAAAGGAGGCAATAATAAAATCATTGCTGAAAAGGCTCTCCTTGGATCACACGATACTGAATAATTACTGACCAATCTCTAGTATCTCATTCATGGGCAAGGTACTGGAACAGGTTATGGGTTCTCGGGGTCTGGGGTTCCTGGATCAGATGGATTATCTAGATCCGTAGATCTGGTTATGGGATGGAGACTGCTTTGGTCGTCTTGTTTGATGGCCTATGCCAGGAACTGGAGAGACGGTCTGTGTCTCTGTTGGTTCTGCTGGATCTCTCAGCAGCTTTCGATACCATCAGCCATAGGATCTTTCTGGCCCATCTCTCTGGGATGGGACTTGGAGGCCATTGTTATACAGTAGCTCTGTTCCTTCCTGGAGGAGAGGACTCAGAAGGTGGTGCAAGGGGGGGGGGATTCCTGTTTGGCACCCTGGCTGCTGGCCTGCCAGGTCCTAAAGGGTTTCTGTTTTGACTCCTATGTTATTTGACATAGATATGAAACTTCTGGGAGAGATTTTCTGGAGTTTGGGGGTTCAGTGTCAACACTATGCGGATGACACCCAACTCTATCTCTCCTTGCCACCTAAATCCAAGGAAGCTGTTTTGGCTCTGTCAATGTCAGGTATCAGTAATGGACGGGATGAGGGTGAATAATTTGAAACTTAATCCAGAAGAGATAGGGGTGTTCCTTATCTGTCAAAAGGCAGATCAAGGAATAAAGATACAGCTTGTGTTGGATGGGGTTCCACTTCCTCTGAAAACTCCGTCAAAAGGCAGATCAAGGAATAGAGATACAGCCTGTGGTGGATGGGGTTCCACTTCCTCTGAAAACTCAGGTGCACAGCTTCAGGTTGATCCTGGATTTGCCTCTGAGTCTGGATGCCCAGGATTCATTGGTGACCAGGAGTACATTTGCGCAATGAAAACGGGTCCTGCTGCTGGAGAATTCTGATCTGGCCATGGTGACACATGCCTTAGTTACATCGCTGCTGGGTTACTGTAACACGCTCTAATTGAGGCTGCCTTTGAAAAGTGTTTGGAAA